TAAAAGACGAAATTCCAGTTCGAGGGCCTTTTAATTTTATGATAAGAAAATTGCACATATCTAATTAATTAGGTAGCTGCTACCGCGCTTTTTATTACCTGCAAAATGATAAAAGTAATTAATTTTTATTTTTTATTTTATTTATATATTATATAATTTAAATTTAAATTTAAAATTTTTTATTTTTAATAAAAAAAATAATTTTTGAGTTATTTATATCATTCACACTATTATACAGTCAAACACCAGGTCTCCGCACCAGGTCTAAGCACAAACTCCGACGCACGACTTACAAACAACTATTACTTTCTACGCGGCTACACAACTCCCCTTCCATGCTCCCTACTTATTATTGGTCCACGTCACGAGAAGACACTACCATTCCCCATTCACCCAGTAAAAACATGAGCTCACGTAGAGCACACCCGTATCGGATCTCACACATCTCCATCGCGCACCCGTCCTTCGTCGCGAAGCAAAAGTGGGAAATTCAGATCACGAGTCAAATTCCAGCAGAAAACGGAGGAAAAGAGCGGGTTGCTTACGATTTCTGCTCAACCCGGTCACTTTCTCCGATCGTCTTGATCTCTTTTGATTCCTCTCAATCTCCGATCTGCTTCGGTTTTGCGTTCTCTGTTTGTTGTGAAATTTTCCGAATGCGGAACGGATTCTGGTGAGAGTTGGTGTCGAGGTTTTGACTCGATCTGAATTCTAGGGTTTTTAGGTTTTGGAAAGAACGATCCGTTATGTTGTCGAATCATCTGCAAAACGGAATCGAGACGGCGAAGCTGGTTTGGTCTCGGATACCGAATTCCGAGGATGGTGAGGTTGAGGGAGTTGGACTTTTGAGTACGAGCGATGGGAACATTGTTGAGAGTCTTGACTATGAAGTTATTGAGAATTATGCCTATAGAGAAGAGCAGGTATTTCCTTAAAGTTCTAGTAGTTAATCATTGCAATTGAGGATCTCTACTTAGTTTATGTTTGTTTTAATAATAATTCTGGTTTGTTGTTCGGAATCTGTTTAGGCACAAAGAGGGAAGCTATATGTTGGATATTATGTGGCGGTGAAATGGTTCTTTGCTTTGCTTATAGGCATTGGTGAGCTTACTCGTTATAGATTTGTTTTTGTTTGCTTATTTATTTGCGTTGTGTTCTTCCGTTCATATCTTAGCATGTTCAATGGAATTTGTCTGTTTTCTCTTTGTTATGATTCAGTTTTGACTATAGATACGAGTGATTCTTGTTATTTAAAAATGAGAACTTTCAACTCTTATGTTTCGATATTTTATTTTATGCTCTGAGTTTATTCTGTTATGAACTTCTGTGTCCTACCTGCTATTTGATCACCCAGCTTGATTCCTTCAATGCTTTCAGGGACTGGACTCGCTGCTGTTTTCATCAACATTTCTGTGGAGAACTTTGCTGGCTGGAAATTTGAGTTGACGTTTAAAATAATACAAACGTCATATCTGGCTGGTTTTCTGGTTTACGTATTAATCAACTTGGCTTTAGTGTTTTCTTCTGTATATATTATTACCCATTTTGCTCCAGCAGCAGCAGGATCTGGAATTCCTGAAATCAAGGGATATTTGAATGGTAAGCTGGATTTTACAATTTTGTTAACACTGGTTAGTTCTAGACTTCTAGTCATTACTAGGCCTCTGCAGTGTTGCAGTATGCTGACACTGCCTATTGCATATTTAATCCTCAGGAATTGATATTCATGGTATCCTTCTCTTCAGAACCTTGATTGGAAAGGTATGGTAGCTTTTTCTGCATGTGCTATGCCTTGATTTAGTAATGCATATTTTTCAATCATATTATTCTTATTGTAATTTGTAGATATTTGGAAGTATTGGTTCTGTTGGAGGTGGACTGGCATTAGGGAAAGAAGGCCCTCTTGTCCATACTGGCGCTTGTATTGCATCTTTGCTTGGACAAGTAAGTACTTACCTTTTGAAAGTATGCTGATGTCTTGTATTGCTTTTGTCACCATGCTTTGTTCATAAATTATTGTAGAACTTTTATGGTGCTTAAGTCATTTGGTTAATAATGCCTATAGGTCCTTCAAATGATTTATTGAGGGGGTGTAAAAAGGCAAACTCTTTGTTTCCATGGAGAATAAGATGCTAGTGCACATTAGTAATTCCACTTTCATTTTTTTTTTTCTTAAACTGAAATTTCCTTTTATAAAATGTATTGCTAATATTGTAATCTTTAGTGCTTTTCTAGAATTTTGCTGCAAATTAATTTTCACTAACAAACAGCAGTTTAATTTCAGGGTGGGTCCACAAAATATCATCTAAGTTCCAGGTGGTTTCATGTTTTCAAGAGTGATCGTGATCGTCGTGATCTTGTGAGTATAATGCAAAAAAAAAAAAGAAGGGGATATTAGTGTAAATTATATTTTCTTTACATCCATTTTTGGTATTGTAAGACCCCGTGGTCTTGAGATGATGGCAATTAGTTTAGTGATTCTGCCATCAGGATGATGGTGTGCTAATAATAGCATACAGTTTATGACCCTTTCTTGCAAAACTTTACCTTGTCTTTGTCTGAGATGTTTTATCGGAACCCCCTAGAGGAAGTAGCTATTAACATGATAAAGAAGAAATGCAGACACTCTTAACATCAGGATGATGGTGTACATCCTTGTTTTTTTTTTTTTTTTGGTGAAAAGTGTTATACATACTTTTTCCCTATAGCATTATATATTCTTGATTATGGAGTTTAATTTGTAAATTTTACCTACTTTATTTCCTGTCAAGTTAGCATTAGGTTTGCACATGCCTTATCTTGCATTTTCTCCTAAGAGTGTAGGTGATTACCCTAATCATGATTACATTTCCCCTAATTTGTGTGATGATTTGAAAAGGTAACCTGTGGGTGTGCAGCTGGAGTTGCTGCTGCTTTTAGAGCTCCTGTTGGAGGTGTATTGTTTGCTTTGGAAGAGGTTACATCTTGGTAAGGAAGTTTTGTTCTCAATCAACAATTGTAGAAGGAGGTTTATTTTCTTAGTGGCAAAAGTTACCTTTTATATCATTTCCCTCCTTCTTATGTTCTCTATAACAGTTTCATCATTGTATGCTCATCATCTAAGCTTGGTTTTCTTGTCATTCATGTGCAAGTACAGATGTATATTCATTTAAGGACTGACTCTATTACATATGTTTTATTACTGTGATTTGAAGGTGGAGAAGTCAACTTATGTGGCGTGTGTTTTTCACTTCTGCTGTTGTGGCTGTTGTGGTGCGTACTGCAATGGGATGGTGCAAGAGTGGGAAATGTGGGCATTTTGGAAGTGGTGGCTTCATAATATGGGATATAAAGGAGTAAGGATCTGAAAATTAAGATCTTACATACCTCTGCATTGAACTTTGCCTTCAGTCTAACTGCCTCTTTCTTCTTCTTTTCTAGTGGCCAAGAGGACTACTCTTTCAGGGAATTACTGCCAATGGCAGTTATTGGGGTTATTGGAGGTTTGTTAGGTAGGTGTTGACCAGGTTTCTTATGATCTATAGTCTTTCATTGGTTATTTCTTATCTTTTTATTTATTTATTTTTGTGTTGGTATTGGATGCAGGGGCCTTATTTAATCAGCTTACAATTTATGTTACACGTTGGCGTCGTAATTATCTACACAAGAAAGGGAATCGAGTCAAGGTAAGCCTTTTGTGGTAACCACAGAAATTACTTGGTCATCAATATGGTGTTGTTATCTCTTGGTTGGTGTCTGACTGAAAAATTTGCTGCAGATTTATGAAGCATGCCTCATTTCTGTCCTAACGTCAGTTGTGTCTTTTGGACTACCTCTTCTTCGAAAATGCAGTCCATGTCCTGAAGCAGACACTGAGGCTGGGATTGAATGTCCACAGGCTCCTGGAATATATGGGAATTATGTAAATGTAAGACCTGCTCATTTAAATTAATTAGCTTTTATTTGGTATCATTGCAAAAGTTTTGAAAACAAAAGCTGAAAATGTCAATTAAAAACTAGAAGTGGAAACATGAGTAGAACTGACAACTTTTCTGGTATCATAATTTTTGCATAAAATTTGATTAACTTGCCATCAAAAAGAAGTCTAATAGAAGAGAAGTAATTAAAATTTCTACAAATAGATAATTGTAGATATACATTAATGTGTCTTATTACTCTTTTTCCTCTTTATGAACATAAATACATATGTGAGACATTCATTTGCTTATCGAAAAAAGAAATGAGATATTCATTTCTCTTAAAGATATATTTTATATTTTGTATTTGTAATTAATGGCATGTTAAAGATAAAGAACTGATTTAAAAAATGATAAAAGAATACCAAAGAAAAAAAGTATCATTTAGTTTTTTACCTTTTTATTCACATTCTTATAATATTTGTATAATGTGTTATAGTAGTATATTTGTGTATTTATGTAATGATTATGGAATCAATTATATGGAATCAATTATATATTCATTCATAAATTAGTTTAAAGTTTTTATTTGAACAGAAGAATTGAACTATATTGATTTGTACTTTGGAAGTTTCTTTCACATCAATTTAAGCTTGAAGCAACCTGTCATGATGAATTTGTTCAGAGAGCATTGTCTCCATTTTAGAACTGTGGAGTAGTCTTCTTCTTGATCTTAGCATTGTCCCCTTTTACTTTTAGGCACATTTTTTTAATTATCAATTGTTACATGATTGTAGAGATTGTCGGATATCCGGGAATACTTGTTATTGATGAGAAATGCAGTTTATTTTCTGACTTGCTTCCTGAAGTTGTATTTGGGATGTCCTTCTCACTTGCTTTACATCATTGGCAGTTTTATTGCAGTAACAACAAGGAATATAATGATCTTGCAACCATTTTCTTCAATACTCAGGTTTCTTGAATCCTTTGAAATCTTTGTATTTTCCACCATTAGCTAGTTGGCCTGCTAGTTTCCATTCTTGATGGGTTTATGTTTTTTTGTTGCAGGATGATGCCATAAGAAACTTGTTTAGTGCCAAAACATTTCGTGAGTTCAGTGCACAAAGTCTGTTGACCTTCTTGGTACTGCTCTTTTATCCTGTTGACTTTCTTCCAAATATGGTTTAATATGTGTGGGTGTATGCCTGTTACACTTAAATGACTCCTGATATATGTCACCAAGCATTTCTAAATTCTGTTCTTGGTCTCAATTCTTATACCATGAAAATGGAATGTTTTCTGTGCCAATTTTTATTCTAGAGCTAGGAAAATTATATGCAAATTTGGGTTGAGACATTAATTGGAAGGGAAATGTCTTTCCTGTCCCCAATTAAAGCAGGAGTGTGGTAAATGTGATTAGAAAGCTATTAAGTTAAGGGACAGGCAGGACCAAAGCTAATACTTGAGATGATGGGGGCAAAATTAAATTTTCCCAAGAGATACATTTAAACTGATCCTAGGTTCAAATACTAAAATGTCTGGCCTAGGGAATCGTAATCATGTTTTAACATTTGCAATAAAACAACCTGGAATTCCAATAAATTCCATGTTTACCTTTTCACTCTAGCAGAATATGCTTGTCTAAATTCTATTCTTTAATCATTGTATTATTGCAATTAATGTTTCACTGATTCTTTCAGTACTTTTTATTCTTTGCAGGTTATGTTTTATACCCTAGCAGTCGTGACATTCGGTACAGCTGTTCCTGCTGGCCAGTTTGTTCCAGGAATTATGATCGGATCAACATATGGACGTCTTGTTGGCATGTTTGTTGTTAACTTTTACCAGAAGCTCAATATTGAAGAGGGAACGTGAGTCTTTTGACTTTTTTAGTTATGCAAATCTTGATTAAGTTTCATATTCTGTTGCTGTTACTCTTACCTATGGCTATTTTCTTCAAAGCCCCTTCTATCTTCATATGAATAAGGAACAGAAATCATTAAGTTCAGTTTACTGATTTTTGAACCTTGTCTAAGAGCATTTATTGTTTCTTTTTTGCTTATTTGTGCATCTCTTAGCCAGGATAACAGATACTCTATGGTAGATAATTCTGGTTTTAAAGAAGTTAACAATAAGAAACTAGATGAGATGGTGGAGTTTAGGTTACTTTATACGTCTGTGTGGTGGCATCTATTGTAATTCTTGAAAAGATTTTTGTGGTTGAGCTTCATGCCTTCATCTTAGCTTGTAAATGGTGGTCTGTGGCTTTGGGCTTGTATGCGAGGCTCAAAGCTAACTTAGAAAATAAATAAATAAAGGTTAGCAACTCATTTCTAGATGAAGTATTTTAGTTCAGTATAAAATTTCTGAAAAAGTATAAGTAGCTAGTATTCTAGAAGCTGCTGGTTTATGTTATAAATCTGAAAAGGAAAAGGCTCACATTGGTAAAGGAGAAGATTGGAAATACCTCTGCTGGAATATTTTTTTATCTGTTCATAATCTTGAATGTTTGATTGGAAGTTTGTCAGTTGTGACCATCTTATTTGCTTGGTCACTGATTGAATGCTTTACTCTGCTTTTACAATTCTATCTCTGAAGTGTTTGTCTTGGTGCTTTTCAAGATATGCTCTTCTAGGTGCTGCTTCATTTCTTGGAGGTTCAATGCGGATGACGGTGTCTTTATGTGTCATCATGGTTGAAATCACAAATAATTTGAAACTTCTACCACTCATCATGCTTGTTCTCCTTATATCAAAGGTACAACTTTGATAGCTCTGCTTGTTTTCTATTGCTTTGTTATTAAGCTTTTAGTAATCTGCTTCCTGCAGGCTGTTGGTGATGCGTTTAACGAAGGCTTATATGAAGAACAAGCACGACTGAGGAGCATACCATTGCTGGAATCAAGACCAAAGTACAAGATGCGGCAGATGACTGCAAAGGAAGCCTGTGGAAACCAGAAGGTATTGATTGAAAATCTATGAGGGATATGATTGAAGTTACGTCAAATGGTTGTGCAATCTATTTGGTAGCAAACATCTAAAATGTAGAATGGGCTTTCAACTTACATGACTATTATAAACTACAATGATTGAATGAGGCCCATTAAAGTTTTTGAATGCCCTCAATTGGAATGAATTACTTTGCACAGTCTGCTGCCTTTTGGATTAAACTGCATACAAATATTTTGGTTGATGTGATTGGATGATGAATCAGTATTTTATTTTAAATGCTTAGTTACCTGAAAATTTTGGTTAAGACAATCGGGGAATTGCAAATTTCTTATTTGTTAGTTTTGGTTATCAAATGATCTGTATGGGCCTTTTTTTCTCATTTACGTAATAGGATACTGTTGGCTACATGTTAAGAAGACACTCCTGCATGGTGATCATATTGGAGTTGTCTGGTGCATACTTCTTGTCATTGGATTCTTCTCCCTGTTTTGGATATTATGATATTTGACTCATAAGGTTATCGTCTTTCTACATTGGAAGGTTCTTTCCCTTCCCCGTGTTGTGAAGGTTGCAGATGTAGTTTCTATTTTGCGGACCAACAAACACAATGGTTTTCCTGTAAGCTTTCTTTCCACAGTGCTTGTTTTTCTTGGTTAATGTTAGCATTTTCTGAATTTTAGCTTAACCATTTATGCTATACAGGTGATTGATCACTCAAGAAGTGGAGAGACACTTGTCATTGGACTTGTGCTTCGCAGGTATAATAGAATGACTTTTGCATTCTTGCATACCTAATTTTCTGTGTTGAAAGGCAGAGGCATGGACTGGATGAATGAAGAAAATAACTGTTGTAGTTGGTTTAACATGCAGCCATTTGCTGGTTCTTCTTCAGTCTAAGTTGGATTTCCAGCATAGTCCTTTGCCCTGTGACCCCAGTGGTGGTTCCAGAGCAATGAGGTAAGTTGGAGATTAGCAATGAGTCTTGCACTTTGTTTCATTCTGGCTCATTCTTTGGTGGTACTTATGGTTGTCTCCAACCATTTATAGGCACAATTTCAGTGAATTTGCAAAGCCTGTTTCTAGTAAAGGATTATCAATAGATGATATTCATCTAAGTTCGGATGACTTAGAGATGTACATAGATCTTGCCCCATTTTTGAATCCCTCTCCATATGTTGTTCCTGAAGATATGTCTTTGACAAAGGTAACTATTACATTTTGTACTTAAAAAACCTACATGCTTATTTGTAGTTGCATTTGTATCTTGAATCTTATAGATTATTGACCTCTTCCTGGTGATGTAGGTATATAATCTTTTCCGCCAACTTGGATTGAGACATGTATTTGTTGTCCCTCGTGCTTCTCGTGTGATTGGTTTGATTACTAGAAGGGATTTGCTGATTGAGGTACTTCTAGCTGGCACTGGTTTTCTCTTCAAGTTTTCATCTTAGGTGGAGTGTTAAATGATTTAAGTTCAATTACTTGCCTTGCAGGACACTGAGGATTCAGCTATATTGGAGCTCCAATCAACTAGTGTAAGGTCTCTCTGCTACTATACTCATTTTATGTCATTTCTATCAATTGTGACAGTCTATGCTCCCCCTCCCCCTCCCCCCCCCCCCTCCCCCAAACCAAAAAAAAAAAAAAAAAAAAAAAAAAAAAAAAAAAAAAAACCAATAACAAAAATTGTTAGAGGCTTGCTGACTTATCAGAATATTAGTAGGGACTTGAGCTAGGGAACAAGAAAAAAGTGAGTAAATTAACATATTTCTCATTCATTCAAACGTAGAAAATTTGGAGTTTTTTCCTTTCACTTTAACTTGCCTAGGCCCCATGCTTTACCTCTTCTTCTCACCAACTGAAAGGATATGGATTATTTTACCTCATTATATTTGTTTTTCTTCCTCCCTATATCCTTCCATACCCATACTTACACCCTCTCTTTTTGTGACTGGCAATCATATTTCGTAAGGAGATACACATTGGTTTAGTACTGCTAATTACTAAACTGTTCATCTGGCTCCTTGTGATAATAGATTCATCAGTCTATCATGTGTAATACTAATAGAAAATTAGCATACATGTTTGAAACAAGAAAATTTTTGTAAACTATTGCTTAAACACAGCCTGCTGCATCCATGACAAGTTTTGCTTAAATGCAGCCTGCTGCATCCATGAAACAGCATAAATTCTGTTGGCTGGCACCTTATGGTGTCAAATGATGAACTGTAAGGGGGAGATTTTACATTTTTTTATAGCAATTGCTTTACTGAGTGCATTCTAACATGTGTCACAAATATCAATTTCCCTATTGAAATTCTTAGCACGAATCCTTCTGCTGGTGGAACTATTTATTGGACAGTTTATCGCGAGGATTATTTTTTATACGTTATTCACAGCTTGTGTTCCCCTTATAGGGCACCAGTTATTCGCTGTATTCTCAGCCTTTCCAACCAACTTTATTTTCTTATTGCAGAGGTCATCGTAATAGAAGATTATTCACAAGGAATACAGAGGTGGACCGCCCACTTCTTGGCAGCCTGGTCCAGGATCATTCTGCCAGTTGATACAGTGCCAAACCTGCCAGGCGGGCTAATTCATTTTTGCTTTTATCGTTTTTTTTAACCCCAAGGCTTAAATCAAATTCCTTGCATACATACATCATCAGTAGGTCACAGAATGGAACTTATATTTTGTGGGCGTAATCCCTATTGTATGGTTAGCCAAAAAAATGAAATCCCTATTGTATCCAATGCTGGGGGTTCATACTCCAAACTAACTATAAATTTTGTATGATATTTACAGTCATGTAAGAGGAATTAATATTTCCTGATAGTGGGAATGGATTAACGTTGGCATGAACCCTTTCTGTTCTTTTTTTTTTTTTTAATTATTATGCCTTTTTTGGGTATAAATTAATGAAGTAAATCGTTTGCAATGATTCCATAGTTGTAATCCGAACGTTGTTGATTGCTGTGTTTTCTCAGAGTTTAACAGTCAGGGTGTTCCCGTGGTGATTGTTTATTAAAATCAAAGTTGCTGATCTTGGTGTTCACTTTATTTGATCAAAGAAAATATTTACAATAGTTAGTTCATTTTCCTGTGTTTGCATCTATGGCATTGATGTTGAATCTGTGGATTCTAAGGGATTTGCTAGAACAGAAAGATACGTCTGGTACATTGATGGCCAGCAAACAGCAAAAAGCGTTTGGTTCACTTTTGTAGTCCATTGCATATAACAGCCGAAGGAGAACAAGCCATCTGTGGGACCAAGTCCAGAATCTGGTACCCAATTCAGCCATTTTCCTTTTCAGGCCCATCTTATTTTTCTCAGTTGCTGCTGTTGAAGAAGCTGAGCAAGTACAACAAAGGATGGTCCTCTTTCATTCTTTCTTTCTTCTTCTTTCTTCCCTTTTTTTTTTTGGCTAAATTCCACTACACTTCTTAATGGTTTTGACTAAAGACCTCCAATTTGGTTTGATCTTGTCAACCTATTAGTGGTGGAGTTAGAGAATCGAACAAAGAAGTCTATGACAGTTTATAGATGAAACTGGGGATCATGATCTTTATTTACCTAGAGCAAATTTAGGGATAAAAGTCGAAATTTGTTTATATTAATTCGATTAAATTTAAATCAATAGGTACACTTGTAGACTTAATTTTTAATTTGAGGGATTCAAATTTCATTGTTCACTCTTCTTTTCAAATATGTCATTTAATATATTTATTTCTATTTTACCTTATTTTTAAAACTATAATTACAATATATATTCTCTCCATTTAGAAATAATGAGTATTGTTTTTTTTACTTTGAATTTATCTTAAAATAATTGTCTTTTTTCATTTTAGGGTAGACAAATATTTATTTATTACTTTAATTCTATCATTATCCTTTATTTTAATTAATTATTCTACAGTACAACAATA